CCTGAAATGACAAGAGAAGAGGGAGACTGTTGACAGTTTTGGAATACATCCAAGCAGTACGATTCCCAGGGTGCTGAAGTAAAGGTACCTAACGGTTCACTGTTGCGGTCAGCGGCCACCACCTCCAGCTTGTAGCAGGAGTTTGGGCTGTTGGGCTCTAGACCTGGGGAGATGTTGATGATGTTGCCTTTGGGGTTGTAAAGCTTCAGGATGTCATGGGGTCCGGCCTCAGCTGCAGAGCGGAAAAGATCTGAAAAAAACCGATCTGCACTTATTATTTTTTTTTAATAGCTATTATTCTTCTGCAAAAGAAGCGCTAGAATTAATCACAAGACAATGCTAGTATCAGGTCTGTTTTCCTCAAGGTTTTGGTTAGAATATCACTTTTAATAAGACACTTATTATAAAGGGTTTATAAATAGAAGTTGTACTTTTTTTTGCTTTATCCATTTTTTTAAATAAATCATTTCGGTAGTGAAAAGTTCCTTTGACAAATATAACTGCGTGACCTGCAGGAACTACATTCAAAAGCAATTAAGCTCTGTTAATAGATAGTCAACATTTAAAACTGAATTACTACAGAAAGGATAAACACAACCAGTTGCAATCAGTAGCAAAGTATTACTAAGTACATTTACTCAAGTATTATACAAAACATTATATAATCAACACTGGGTTGTATATAATACAATACAATGCATATTATACATTTAAGGAAGGCCTACTTGCATTTAACTTGTGATTACTTGGTTACTGTTTCAGAGCGAAATATTGTGCTTTCACTCAACTGCAGCTATTCGATGGATGTACTTAAGAGATCACGATTTACATACAAAATAGAAAGATTATAAAGCAGTTACATTTATATCAATTTACCTATCCAGCATATACATATCCAATTAGAGATGAAATGGTGAGTGGATTAATCAGTCGTTGACAAAAAGTGAATTAAACTCTAAAAGGTCATTCAGGAGACCCTATTATCTTATTATTTCATAAAATATATTATGATGAGATATAAAAATTCAGTTAACTTTTTGATTGCAAACATAATCCTAATAATTTGTGGTGACACAATTATCTTTGTAATTATTACAATCATGAAATAAATAATCCTTGTTTTAAATATTAATAATTCTAACGAATTTCAACTAGTTTCTTTTTTAATTAATAAAACAATGAAATTCAAGGAGTGGTACATTAGTTTGAAGACTTAACTTGACGTCCTGAAAAGTGCACAGATACAGCAGCTGTTTTACACTAAAGGCATTATTAAAATAAATAATGAAAGGTATGTTATTGTTCATATATCAGGGTGTCACTATTATTGGCTCTGTGTAACTGTGATAAGCATTTTACAATTACTGTATCATGAAGTTTCACAAACCAATGAATTTATCAGTTAATTGGAAAAATAACCAGCAGATTAATTCCTTATAAATAATTAATAGTTGAAAATTAGCTCCACCTCGATCCACAACAGTGCAATGCTGCTTAGACATTGATGTATGAACAATAATAATCCAGATTATAGATAGAATAGATAGGAAGCCTCAATTATTTTTTTTGTAAATGATTTTGTACATCAAAAAAAGCTATTAGTTACCTACAGTATAACCTTTCATTTAATGTATTTTTCAGAGCGTGTGTTGCACGTTTTTTAAAGATTGGCAGCTGTCACATGCTCACTGGCAATACGAAACAACAAAACCCACATTGACCATGTACTGTAGTTGTGAGGGGAAACAAAACCAGGTTGCCGTGGACAAGACATCCAAAATGGAGCTTTGTTTTGCCCTCGTCACCACTTGAAACAGAGAATATAAGAAGAACATGGGAAGCCAGTACTAAGCACAGCCTCAACATGATAAGTGAGGAGCTGTCAGGGGCAGCTGTAAGGCTGCGGCTCACACAAGCTGCATGATAACCACACATTTCTTTAAGCTGCTTGTGTAATGACTTTTGTGTGAATTCAAATCGTGTGTTTATCAGGAGTGGTTACTTGTTTGCAAAAACGAAGCTGTTAGAATATTTTTCTGTCACTAAATATTTCTCTCTCTGAGAAACGATATAAAACAAAAGATATAAAGCTGAATAAAACAGACCAAATATTCATATTAATTATAGCTTCTTTCAATAAGTGTAAAATTGTAGCAAAAATAGAAGACATTTTCAAATGTTCCTTATAATAAAATCAGAGAAACATGCACTGGTTCTTCAACACTGTAATCTCACACCTGCATATATATGTGGATATGGAGACACTGTCAGACAAACCACTTGTATCACAAAATCCTTTTCTAACAGAGATATGTGAACTTAAAATAACAGTGTTGTGTTCCTACCTTTGACATCCTGGGCAGGGCAATCCACTGGGAGCTCAGCCTGCTCTGGTCTCCCATTCACTGTGAAATAGATGATTTTTGTTGCCATGTCATGAATTTAGAAGCACGGTTGTTGCAGTGTGCACTACTGATCTGTATCTAATATCTGCCCCCCCACATTATTGTACTGTTTAACACTCCTCCCCCTTGTTGTTATTCTCTCCGCCTCCTTGTCTGACCCTTCTTCTCCTCTCTTCCTTTGTACTGTAAAATGTTTCCAGTAATAGTAGAAATTATTAATTCAAAGTAACACATTATATTTATTAGTGTCATTGTGTTTCAGTGGGAAGCCCATATCCACTAATTAAAAAAAAAGAAAAGTATTATACAATACTGAGAGCTCTGCATCATGTGGATTTCAAACACTTATTTGATTCTCAAAGGAGAAAATTCCCTTCCAAAATAGCAGAATTATTCTGGTGAATACTTTAGTCACGTATCTGTGGAAGGAACTAGAGGGTAACAGCCAGAATCAGCCCAGATGTGGGTGTGGATGTTGTGAACCGGCCGAGGACCCAATCGTATAAACATACATCTTTAAAAAACTAGCTGGCTAGAATCTCACAAGTAATTAAATGAAAACTGAGGCTATTAACATTAGAAATGACAATATAACACATATATGATGTGTGCATTTTGCATGCACATATTTATAATCTACATTAATAAATTGAACATGCAGAAATTAATGTAAAATTTATGAGAAACTCAAAAACTCATGAAACTCCCACCATAAGTGTAGGGGAAATGTAGACCTTTTTTTTCCCCCAGTTTACATTCATTTTGACTTGGATAGAGCAAAAACAAATTCATAATTTCTAGCTTCTGTAGAGAACATTTTTACAATCCCGAAAGAGATGCAACGATTCTGTCTGG